CGAAACGTTGCATAAAACTTTAACCAGTGATTGTTGTTCCGTAAAGCTGTGTCTATATATCGTACTCACAATTGCTAAATGCCATTCAAAGGACAACTGTCGTCATATCCACACTTACGTTTGTCGGAAATCTCAAATGTAATATCTATACTCATTTTAAAACCTGTAATTCCTACCTTGTAACCTCGGACAGTGCTTCTACAGAGTAAGTTTTTTTAATGTTCAATCTAAAACAGTATCTCGGCAATATCAACGTTATATTACGTGTTGATAAAGGAAAAAATGATTTTTTAATAAAAATTTGATCACAAGTAATCATAGTTGTAATCCGGTTATAGTATAATAAAGAATTCATTTGTTATTATTTTAAGTATGTACCAAACGACTGTTATATTAATTTAAAAAAAACCAAATCAGTATATATATGCTTCTATTATGTGAATTACGCCTTTGTATGATCACGCGTTTCATGAATGGCGTTTATTACACTATTATGAATAGTTTTGGTGACTTTTAAAAAATATCTCCTATGAGCCTCCTTTCTCAATGGAACCGTATGGTGCCAAAAAATATCACAGTAAGACTACCCCCCTGCCATACTTGACACCCAGAATTGTTACGCAATTATGTCAAACTAATAAACCAATTATATATTTTAACACATGAAAAATAGTATATCCGGAAAGTAGCCCAGATGTTGCCACCAATTGAACTGACAAAATCATTTATTATTTATATTTTGTAGCCTGAACTAGAGTCAGCATGGCCATTTTGTGAGTTCCTTTTCCTTGTTTTTTAAGTTTTTTTCTTCTGGTAATTTAGATCAAATGTTTTGGATGATGAGTATTTCATTGGTGATAGGACATACGAAGATAATAGTGGGTACAATAAGGAACGATGAAATCGGTACCGGTACCTTGATACAATATCCTTTACTTTGTGTGAATGTTTAATGTGTGGATTGTTTATTCTTTACATTTTACGGAATTTGGCATCATATTCAAAAGCATGTGGTTTGATGAATTCCGCGTATCTATAGACGAAAAGGTCGAAACACCTCTTGTGACTTTGCGCCTGGATTTGTCACAAAATTACAGAACGACCAAGCTGCATCACTAGAGATAGCCGAGTTGAAAAATTTGAAAGTATTATTGTAACTTATATGCTTAGATGAATCCTAATATCTTTATGAAGGTGAGCAACTAGTTAGGCCACAACTGTTTTAAGGTATCAGAATTCTAATTGTATTTTCAGGCACTTCATCTTGCAGACGTTCCTACTATGTTCCGTTATATATGAAACCTTCGGAGTGATGTCATTTAACGATATGAAAAGGGACATATTTATGAAAATACCTCTCAATGACAGGAAAGCTATCTTCTTGCAGAGAGTTCCTGTAGATTTTAACAAAGACGGCTATGTTGATAATTATGAAGTAGAACGATTACTTGGACAATATTGGACACCAGAGGACATTGACTTCTTTCTCAGTCATTGTGAAGCAATTGGTGGTCAGTGCCGTATTTTTTCTGGGGTATTTTAAGGGGAGGGGAGTGAGATCCGAATTTTCTCAGAAGGTTCTAGTTCTACTGTCATCACATCACACAAATTGTTGCTTCAAAGGGTTAAATTATCAGTAGGACGTCCAAAATTTAAAGATCAACCCAGGAAGTTGAAAGACAAACGCTAAATAGGCAGAGAAAATGAGTCGGACCTAACATACATTGGCCTGGAGCAAATCCTGATTTATCCCTATAATGACTGATTGAAAATGAAAGTGCCCCAAATGTAGTCTCAAACATCTGTCTGTCGACTAGCCTGATAAAACAGGGCCTAGCTATCAGAGGATGGAATAGAGGTAGATGTTTCTGATTACTCCCAATGTAGCCTGACAGACCTCTTAAATTATTTTACTCTTCTTTGCCATGTTGTTTTTCAGAAGACGAAGGCATATCTGTACATGAGTTTTATATGTCTATCAAAGTATTTTCCGGATTCTTCAGACCATGTGGCGAAGGCAGTTTATGTCCAGTCAAAGTAACACCAAAAGTAACAAAAAAGGTAACACCAAAAGTGAAGAAAGAATTATAACAAAATCAAATGACACTTGAAAAGCTTATGTTTGGGAATATACAGTGTACGGGACGGATTCAAAAGATCCCTGATCTAATGTTTTAATTCTTTGCCATAAGTTGAAAGTTATCTAGCTCGCTCTGTGCAGTGTTAACTGTTATGTCCAATATCGTACTACATCAACATCATTCAGTGTTCAGATGAGTGGGGCCCGTGAAATTTCTTTTATACATCTTCTGCATTCTGAGACCCCTCTGTAAGTTTATTTAATGTCTGTTGATGGAAGATTTTAAGTCTGTAGTTTATGCCATTTCACACGTTTATATATTACTTGTTGGTTGCTTAATCGGATTATAATTATAGCTTGTAAGTGAAGTACCTATTGCCACATCGTGCATCACTGATTGTGGGAAACCGAATACTATCTACAGCTTTGCAGGAATTTTCAGATAAATTGCTTATTAAATTAGCCTAATAATATGATTTATTGACAAACAATTACCTGTACATCAGTGTATAGGTCATAAACAATAACAAATAATTAATAAATAAAGGACGGTATGTACTAATAATCATCTGATCTAAACGTTCCATGTGCGATGTTGGGTTGACAAACCCAGTTGCAGACTGACCATAAGTTACTGGAAAAGGTAACCTTCATTGCTTCAGACATAATATGCTGTGCAATACAGTTTTCACATAACAAATTGATTGGTTTTACTGTAATACATTGCATTCAAAGATTTACTGTGACCTTAAGGAGATTGTAAAGAGGTTTTCTAAACTATAATGCATATCCGGTAAAATGACAACATTGCTTTACACTATTGTGGGCCTTGAAACTGCATTTTATGATGTTACAATGACAAAGGTACAAATAATTAATTAACAGTTTTTGCTATAGTGAGTTCATATATACTTAAGCTTTTCTAGATATCTGACAGGAATTTGGAATGATGCAAATAGAAGCCATAAAAAGTTGAGAAAACCTCTTTACAATCCCTCAATCATTCAGATTATTGAACTTAATATAGGGCTCATTATTGCTCTAATGAGAGCATTCAATGGCCTTTTGTCAGGTATTATAATTCAACAAAAGTTATTCAACCAATGGAATGGATCAGTATTTTTAAATTCAGACCATTTTGCTATTGTAAGCATTTAATAATAAATAAAAAATTTTGAAGGACGGAATGTGAGTGTCAATGTTTAATATCTATTCTGGTAGCAAGTCATCACCAAGTTCTTCATCACCAAATTCATCATCATTAGGATTACGTCTAGCAGCTGCTGTTTTAGGTCTTTCCATCTGTGGTCCCAATGGATCTGCATAGGATGCATCTGAAAATGGTAACAACATTAGATGCAGAAATTTAGTTGGGTTTCTAGATTTTCTTTTATTTAAGAGACAAGAGACAGCGTCACTGCAATATTGGAATGTTTCCATAACCAGTTATCCTGAAGAGTATTGTGTATCAAAGATCCCTCAACTGTTGGAAATTGGAAAAGAGTTGGATGATAAATTCAAATATCCTGACAATTCTATTGATTGCACACTGCATGGCATTGCCTTCTTGTCCAAAATGCAGAAAAAAAAATCTGTATCAGCAGTACTTACCAACATCTCTCTGTGAATTTCCAAAACCATCATCATCACCATCAGGTATAGTACCTCTGGTTCTACCACTATTGGTTCTTTGTCCTCTAGCACTACCTCTTCCAGCACTACCATCACGATCTACATGGACAATACAAAGTTCACAATATTTCAAAGCAAAAAATTCTGATTTTAGTTCCAATGCAGGTTGCAAATGGAAATACCAGTAGAAGTTCTTGAATGTACACCTGGTGCTAGCAGTATTGAAACACACATATTCACTCAAAAAGAGCTTAGTTGTTTCAACCACTGTAATATAATATACCTGTACCCACCTGTATCTCTGTCTCTAGAACCTCTACCACTACCTCTTCTGGTACCACTAGTAGCTCTCTGTAATAAAGAATACATTATGTATCAAAGGAAAGAAAATCCTACTTTTCTGCACCATATAGGCTAATAAAGACAGGCAATAAAGGGTGCAATGAGAGAAATTTTGCCAGGACAGTGGCATTAGCCTGCTCTTTTCTGATTTCCAACTGTCGAGGGATCTTTAACGTGCACAGCCTGTAGCAAACAGGGCCTCAGTTAATATCCCATCCGAACGACTAGTCACGTTTTCCAAGTCCGTCCTTCTTACACATTATGTATCAAAAATATTATGTACTAACAGATGAATTTAGCAAATATGAATATCATATAAACACATCAAGTATGGTATATGCTACAAACCATACCACAAATGTAGCTTGATATGTATAGCACACCTGAAATCTCTTAAGGGAATAATGAACATCAATTTCCATCTAAAGATGGGTTCCCTTATTTTCATTTATGCTAATACTTATATGAATAGAAAGTAGAGGTCTTCTTATGATTTAGAAAAATACCAGTTTGTCTCTCATGTCCATAATTAATTCATAATTAGCTAAATTCAAAGAGAATTACAAGCAGAATTCAATGAGTGACCGATCAAGAAAGGTCAAAAAGTCATTTTTTGTTTATCCAGACTGTACATACATGGTCATTTATGATTGGTTAAAACTCTTAATTATATGCAATAAGAACATGATAATTCATTAGAAACACCAATTAATCAAATAGTTTACTTAATTTGACTACAAAAAACCCATCTTTAACTCTTTTTTCAACAGGACAACCAGCCCAACAGCTGCAATCAGCTAACAACATTTTAAAACTTCACCTTATGAGTTTATTGTATACAAGATAAGAATGTAAAGTAGCTTAAATTAATAAATCTTCTAACCTGTTCCTTCAATTCTTTAGCTTTCTCTGCTTTCTTCAATTTGGTAGCATATTCCTGAGCATCCTTTAAACCTAGATCAGTACATAATCTCACCAAAAACTTCAAACCTAAAAAATTCAATAGTCTCAGTTAGTCCTTCTTACAACCTTAGAGAGAAATTCTGTTAAATTTAGACCAGGCAGAAATCTTTATACTAACTATAACTCAAAACTATGGTCTCATCTCAAAAGTTCATCAAAAAAAAGACAGCAAAAGATATCACCCTTTTATGAATACCCTTAAAGGGGTTAACAACTTTCAAACCGAGCAAACGTCAATACTTCCCTCTAACGCTGGTTTGGAACACTGCCTTTTTGTGACAGTTGAATAGCTCAGTTGCTAGGCGATAAGGAGATGCAGGTAAGAAAAATAATGATGGCGGTAAAGACACTTACATTCTACATTATCTGGGAAGCGACGATGTATTTGTTTATAAGTTTCTAGAGCTTGTTGATAGTTACCACTACGTCTATGACAACTTGCTATCATTAACTGCCATTTTACTTGATTAGGTCTAAAATATTGAGGATCATTATTATATTAAATGGCGATTACATCAAATGAAATGGAGTCTTACACCGCACTGATTGAGGCTAGTAATAGAGCTACATCATGCAGTGTGCAATGAAGAGAATTTTGTCAGGATAGTAGTTTACTATATTACAGAGCACTGACTGAAGCACTCAAGGTCTTGGACAATTGTCCAATATGCGCAAAAGTATATCCTTTTTTTTTTTTTTTTTTTTTTTTTTTGAAATATTTGCAGGGATTTGGGATTTCTAAAAATATTTTAATTATATACATATTTTGTTCCAAGAATTTATGGATTCCAAAATTAACAATCGCATACAAAAAGCTACATATAAATTCAGAGACTTACTGTACTATAGCAGCTCTTTCAAAATAATGAACAGCTTTTTCACAGAATTGTGAATCTATATAATAAGCTCCTAACCATTCTATAACTGGTATATTAGATGGGAAATAACGATATGACTGAAATATATATATCAATATCATACATTAGGCAATACATCTGATATATTTAAATAAGAGGACGGTTTGTAGCACAGTTGGTTAGAGTGTTGGAATTACATTGGTTGGTTATACCGAAAAAATAGTGGTTGTGGGTTCTATTGTAAAAGTCTGGTGACCTTGAATAAGTCATCTTTCCTCATAATTCCAGGCTACCCAGCTGTTAATAGGTATTGATAATCCAGAAAAGAGCAATGCCAAGAGGTTTGGCAAAAGAGCATTTTGAAAATAACTAAAAACTTACATCATAAAAATATTGAAAAGCTTGACTTTTATCTCCCTCTGCATCATAGAGTTCTCCCATTCTAGCTAAGACACTAGCATCTGATGGTACTACACCAATTAACTGTAAAAACCTGTAACATAACACATGATAGTATAAGACAGATGGAAATGGATAGGAAGCACTTGCTGTTCATAAATCCTCTTAAACAAACTATTTACTTCACAAGTTCCACCCTGACAGCTATATTCCCCACAGAATGTTTCATTTTTCTGTTCTACAAAGAAATTTTCTAAACTGTGTGGAACTTGTGAAGTCATTAACTTGTTTGTGGAAGGTCAGGAAAAGTATACTTTGCAAACCTTCAAACTTACCATTCTGTTGCTTGTGCTGTGTCTTCCATTTGATCATATCTTAGTTTGGTTAAGAAAAATATATAAAGACACACATCTTAGGGCTCTTTTGAAATGCCCATCGTGTAGCAGCAACCAAGGCAACTTAGCATAGTATGATATGGTAAACTAAGATTTCAAACTCAGTTTCTCAATGTCAATGGTGCTAGTCGGCATGGGAACAGTATCTTTGAGATTGGCCTATGAAATGAAACCCTGTTTGCTAAAAACTATTCATATTATAAATACCATATCAGTCAAAAAGACTAGGCTAATGTTCTTTTTTTTTCTGTATCTTTAAATATTATTAAGGATACATATCAGCTATCTGATATAAGACTTGTGGACTATTTCTCATAATAGCATGTAATTTATAAAAACAATCTAAAGCTTCTTCTAATCGAGTTAGTTTCTTATTGGATAAACCTGAAAATGAAGAAACATTTTGATTACAAGAATTGTCAACCAACAGAACAGATAGTTATTACCAAATCTTAAATTTGTAATATCACCAATAGATACTATGTTGAAAAGCAGTTGCAGAGTTACATCTGGTGCTCCAAAAGGGTAGGGAGCTCAAAGTTAAGAGACTAACTTTCAAGAGCTAAAGCTGAAAGATCAAGAATGACTTCAAGGGAAAGCTAGTCCATCAGCAGAGACCTTGAGTTCACAAACCCAGTTGCAGAAAGACATTAGGTGTAGAAAGATCAGCATGATAGATGCAGATATATATTTAATGTTAATGTCTTACCTAGATTGTACAGTGCCTCCACACATGAAGAATCATTGGCTATAGCTTCTTTAAACATTTCTCTAGCTTTCTCAAAATCATTTCTCTGATAATATACATTACCTTTATTTACTAGTGCTACAAATATCAATATTATCAATTTTATCATTCAAGACATGTTCCTCTCTTTGTTTTCTACAGACAACCTTAATAAATGTTTACAAAATAAACTGATTGATGTCAACATTTAGCTGACTAATGTCAACAATTAGCTGCCTGATTTCAATATCAAACTGGCTGATATCAACATTTAGCTGACTTATGTTGACATTTAGCTGACTGATGTCAACATTTGACTGACTGGTGTCAACACTTGGCTGACTGATGTCAAATGTATTTGACTGTTGTCAACATTCAGCTGACTGATTTCAACAGTTAGCTGACTGATTTCAACAGTTAGCTGTGACTTTTTCAGGCATTCTCATTTACATTGAAGTAATATCTTCATTTATAGTTTTGCAAGGGAATCAGACATCAGATTTAAATTATGAAGTGAACCAATTTTAAGAAGATAATTCCCTTAAAATTTCAACTTACCTGAAGGATTGTATCTATCAGCTGTCATGGCTAATTCTGCATATTTATCAGCTTGTTGGAGATCCGATTCCTACAGATAAATAATCATATTAATCAAATCTTCCGATATCAAATGATATTTAAATTTTTTTTATGAAATTAACTTTACATTAGTATTTGATGATTTCTTTTATACACAGCTCAAAAATATGATAAATAATGTGCAAAGAATCATAGATCGTGCTGGAAAAAGGCAGTAAGAATGAAGCAGATTTCTAATAGAATCATCTGTTTAATAAGCGGCTGATTTAGGGTTAATCTAAAAGTAATTAACAGCTGAAAAATCATGCAAATGAAGATCACCACACAAAGTTTATAACAAATATTTGAAAATTCTGGAACTAGAACATAACTAAAGGTCTAAACAGGTTGAAATACAGTATTTATACAGGCTGTAGGCAGATTATTTTTACCTCTTTTTGCTGTTTTCCAAGAATAATAATAATAAAATAAAATTGGCATTACAAAAATTACTATATCACTTCATCTACTTAAACAAATATTTAATTGCCTAAATTTTGGCTATTCCAGCTGAGAGAGCTTTATTTCAACTGTCTGTGTCACTTTCATAGTTCAAATCCAATTGAATGTTCTCCTGTGATTCAAAAACAATGTACCAGGGAAGTTCAAAATTAGGTCATTTTGGAGCCTTTTTTCATATATATGCAAGGATAATTTTGATTAAATCCTGAAAGACTTCTATGTATTTTCTTTAATTGAATTGCAAGAGAACCTAATGTGAGATTTTAACTCCGAAAAGAGATTTACAGATTTGATATTGAGCTTTTTCAGATGGGAAAGCAAATATCTACACAAATTAATACCTTAACTAACTTAACTCTTAACTAGCCAAATTTACATAAATTGGCAAACAGAATAAGCAATAATTGCTTATATACAAAATTTGGGCGTTTTGTGCAAAATGCATCTATCTTAAGTGAATTTCAAGCATGTGCACAGCAAAAATTCAGAAAAAAGTGATCAATTTTCAAAACTCAATGAAATAATGAAACAATATTTGTCAAAATTATGCAGTTCATTCAAATGACGAGTGAAGTGACCATAATCATGCTATAGCATTTTTATATTCTTCAGTTTTTATAACTCAGAGTATGACAATGTTTTCAGGTGTTACTCCGAGTCCAAAGGCTTTAATAATTGCTAGTGAAAAGTGTACTTAATAAAGTTGATTAAAATATAAAACCCAAACTTACCAAGAAATATAGGAATGATAAATTAGTGGCTGCAGTACTGGCAACTTTAGAATCTTTTTTCTCAAATGATTTCAATGTTTCAATAGCCTAAAATAAACAAGGCTATGTATAACCCTCCTTGTACAACAGACTTTTCTCATTGCTGCTTTCTTGCACTCCTCCTGTCTATGCAACCATGATGTCAACTCGGCAAATCTTTCAGAGACTACATGTAACCTAATATTGAGAACAGCTAAAACAACAGTACTTCAGAATGTAAATAATGTACAAGAATAATATTATACCTGTTGGAAATCTTTCTCCTTTAAAAACATGATAGCTTTATCTATTTCTAAATCATGAGACATATCAACAAACTGAGAGTTTTTAACTTGTTCAATACATCTGAAATAGAGTAGAGTCTGAGTTCACAATATTTGTTTACACTTGGGCATGTACAAAAACCTTAACATGGATAAAAATCCAGTGTAAATTGAATTCAGTTTATAAATTCTCGAAAGGATCTTAGCGTTAGGATGTCCTAGAATCAATGTAAGAAGATAAGAACTAAGGACATCCTAGCGTTAAGAACGTTTCGGGAATACAAGGCTAGGGTCCTGTTCCACACAAAATCTCAAGATAAGAATTTGTGTAGAATTTCGCATTAAGAAATACGACAAAATTGATCGTAAGATTTTTTGTGGAGTGGGGGCCCAGATTTACAGTGAACTGATTGGTGAATAAAACTGAACTTAGTTTCAGTGATTCAGTGAAGAATGGAATACTAAAATTTTTTTGTAGGTTTTGACCAATCAGATGAATAGAATACGAATTTGAATTTAGCCGTTTGGTCTTCAACTTACATAAGTTAAAATGTTAAAGTTAAAACTTATAAAGTTAAGTATCACTAAAACAATAATAATTTGGTTAATAAAACTTACTGATCATAGCCCTCTGAGAAACTGTTTTCTATGGCTGGTGATATTATCTTTACTGCAGACTTTAAACAACGTTCAGCTTCATATTTCCTAAAAAAATTAAAAAGAAAATGAAATATTATGTCCTACTTTTCTGCCTAAGACTGGAACTTAAATGTTTTGTAATTTCATGTGTACAGTGTGCATTCAATAAGGTGTTGAGTGACGTGTGTTGTTATCAGTAAAAATTTCATAGTAGACCAATCAGAATGTTTGCTAAAGTCATATGATTTCAAAATGGCGGCTTCTATGAATTTGAAGTGGACAACATGGTTGGAAATGGATTTTAGAGATTTATTGCCCTTGATGTCAGTCAATATGGCAAAGCTCCTTTGAGTTGAATTTGCCAAGCAAAAAAGTTTGCTGCAGGTTTAAACCATAGATATAGGTGTTACATGTTGTAAACTTACTTTTCTCTTTCAATTTTTCTTAAAGCATCATTCTTTATAACTTCTACTACCAGATTATTCTGTTTATCATCCTGCAATTATTATCATATCAGAAATCAATAACATTCCATTAATAATTATGTTCTGGACCAGTGGTTTTCAACCTTTTTCAGCCTTCAAAACTCTTGAGCAATCACCTGGACCTTTCATACCCACAAAAATTTGTTTGATCCACATTTCCAGCAGGATGATTTGAGGTGCTCTCTCAATTAAAAAAACTATCTTCTCCTACACCAGTTGGCCACACCCCTGACACCCTAGTCCCACAACCCAAGGGGGTGAAAACACCGCAGGTTGGGAACCAGGATGCTAGAAAACTGTAAATGAAATGAAACAGAAAAATCTACTTGGCAGAACACCAACAACTGAAAACTGTTTTACCAAGTAGCAAAAAATGAAATTAATTGAAAGAGTATACAAAATGGTTAAAACTGATTAATTACCATTTGTTATACAATAAGTACCAAAGCTGAAACCTTTTCAAAATTGACCTCTCTAATGCCCTTATACTCCATGGCAAAAATTGTAAAAATTTACATTAAGCAGAAAAAACTTTGATAATCATTACATTTTCAAATGAAATTTGATGTTCAACTTGTACTTACATTTTGAGAAATATATTTATCTTGATCATCCAGTTTTAAATCTACAGCTAACAACTTCTGGAATCCTCTTCTCATTTTTTCACGATCACCCAGTGCAAAATAACATAATATCAGATTGAAGCCAGTTTTAAAATTAGGTGATTCTGACATAATGTGTTCAAATGATGTAATAGCTTCATGATATTGTCCCATCTTAACAAATACTATTCCAATATTCTGCATTATCTTGGTTCTAAAATAGATTGTTTACATATTACACTGTTAACTCGGCTATTAGCTATCTGTCTTTATTATATCGAGATAACATGACAAAAGTTGAAACTAAACTTTTATAGTACTCCTGATTAGGATAATGATGACAGACATTAAGCAGTGTGCAATGAGGAAGACAGCTGTATAAGCCATCTCTTTTTTTCTTTCCTATAGTCAAAGGGCCTTTAATGTGCAGCATGTATCACACAGGGCTTTGGTTTATTGTCACACAGGCTTTTTTCATTCCAGCCTCTCAGATGGTATCACTGAAAGGGGGAAACCAGGTTGAAAAAAAAAACCCTGAACATTAATTTGTTGAGCACCCCAGTTCACCTTAACAACATCTTTAAACAATTTCACATAGAGATATCATCACTTAAAGTTTACCTCATTTCTTTATGTGTATTAGGTACTTGATCTAATGCCATTCTGTAATATTTCACAGCTTTTGGATAATTCTTCTGTTTAAAATAAATATTACCCATGTTTACTTTTAGACGACCTGAAAACAAATGAAATAGAGTTCAGCATCCTACTTTGAAAGAAAAGAAAAGAAAGAAACAACTATAACAACTTAGGTTCACAGTTAAGGATCCTTTCTACCAGGTGGTACTTGGCCAAACCTCTTGGCATTGATCTATCCCAGATTATCCAAAGTCCATTTCCAAGACGTAACCAAGCAAATGAGGTCATGTAAACAACCAATGCTGTAACCAACTGTGCTATAGAACTGACATCAAGAAGTATACAATGAGTTATTTTCGCCAGGACAATGAAATTAGCATCATACCTTTTTGCTACTAATTGGGTTACTGATAAAAAGCTGTGTGTAATAAGGGAAATTTTTGTCAGGACTGCTGAATTAGCCTTCTGCCTTTTTATTTTCAAAGTTGTACTCTTTTTCTATATCATGTAAGCCTACTCCTCTGTAAACTTAAAAGACCACACACAGAACATAAAATTCCCTTATATATTGTCAGTCATTGCCTACAAGTATATTCTTAATGGCAGTGGAATAGCTCAGTTGATAGCTAGTTGGATTGTAATATAAGGCAAAAAGATGCCATGGGTTCAAATCCCCTAGAGGGCAATGGCCAGTGCTTCTGACAGTGTGCTTTCAGCACCTAAAGAGCAACAAGAAGATAACCTACCAGCATTACTAAACATTCTATTTTTAACAATAACTTGGTAGGTATTCAAAGCTTCAGCATACATTTCATTGGCAGCATATTGATTAGCTAAGTTGAATAATACCTACAAAATCATACAAAATGTTCACAAGAAATATTACATGAGGTTGCATAGAGAAAACATTTTTCATTTTAGGATCATTTATAAAGTGTCAACAAATGTCCATATATGTACAGTCTGGATAAACAAAAAAAGACTTTTTGACCTTTTTGATCAGTCACTCATAATATTTTTCCCTCCTATTTATTAAGTTATACAAAATCTTTTCACCAAATAACAGCTTTAATTTGAACAACTTTGAAAATTGCTGAAAATATCTTAAACTTACAGAATATGTTAAATCTAGATTAATAGAGTCTCCCATAGATTGTTGTTCTCTTTGTCTTACTAATAATCTTTCTTTTCTTCCTGCTTCTTTACCTTTCTCTAATGCCTACAATATTTATACATAATAGCTGTCCAAATAGTGTTGATTGAAACAATACGGCATGTGGAATAAAACTAATCATGATGCATCAACAAGATATGGTGTCCAAGTGACCACATCACTTATAACAATTCTATTTCTAAAACAATCTTGTTGTTTGGATGGGAGGTCCTACTCCTTTGAGGCAGTGCAGGATAATTACACCTTCAAAATGTCAATACTTTGCATGAATCATAGAGAGGAGGTTATAAGGCTCCATCTTATTCTATAGTGTTATTGACATAAAATGAAGATAGATTTAAAAGATGTGTTTTTTTTACCAGTTGAAGTTCTCCTCTACTATTAGCAAAACAACTCTCTTCTATTAATTTATTGACACTTTTCTCTAGTTGTTTAATCTTCTCTTCAGGGCTGTTTTGAGAAAAAAAAAAAAAACATAATGTTTCATATCATTTTGATGATTGTCAGATAGCATCATATATCCTAAGCTATAAAAACTGAAGAGTACAGCTTACACATCACTTGGTAACTGTCGTGTCATAGGCTGCTTTTTCTGCCAATATAGAGCTGCCCTACTAATAAGCAAAGGGTCAAGTAGCAAAAGTATAAGATATCAGGATAAAATTTTAGAATCTTTAGAATTTCGAAGAAACAGTTCAGCACCAAAGCATAAATTGAATGCTTTTCTAAAGATTAAAATCAGTAATAAAATGGAAAATGGTGTGTCTGTGTCTATTTTCTTCTGACACATACCTGTCTTCTGGTTTGGGTTCTAAAGGTGGCGCTGGTCCTTTTCCAGCATTCATTGGATCAAATCCTACACCTACAAAACAAAACACAAAATATGCACTGATTTATCAATCCATTGTGAAAAATCCACTAAAAAATCATATATTCAAGAAATAATCAAAACAGGTTTTGTTAACATTTGCAAGTGTGATTGAAACACATCTATAGCTTATATTTGCAAAATTTCTATTCTCTGTCCTAATCATGTGGTTCTTTCAATGCAGTAAAAATTTGACAAGGTTATTATGTCAATAGTCTATGCCATAAATACGATTTGCATCTAACATGTCAGTGGAAGAAATAATAAGTTATGATGTCATACCTCTATTACCAGCTGAAGTATAACCAGCTGCTCTTACAGCTGTCATCGGTCTAGCAGCTCCATCTGCAGGGACTGCTCCAGTAATAGGTCTACCCATGGAGGATGGCAATGCCACTCTACCTCTAGCAGCTGTTGGCATTCTACCAGATTGAGCACCAACAAATTTTCCTGTCTGGAATGAAACGATATTGAGTTGCCATGCAGTGAGCAATGAGGGAAGTTCATCAAATTGGTCACTTTATAATTGCAAGTGTGGGAGACCATAAACATACACAGTTTATAGCCATTTTGATTTCTGACATGTAAGCTTACAGGGTAAAAACATGTTTGGCTTGCAGATAAGCAAGCAAGCAGGTATCAAACTTGCTCAGTCACTGCCAGGCTGTCCCTTTACAAACTGAGAGCAAAAGACACCCAGATTCATCTACTACTACAAAAGATCGTTAACTAAAATCTATCCATACTGGTGGAGGTCTACGTCCATGGCTTGTTCTTAGTACTGCCTTTTGAAAACTTTCATCATGCATCAAATCCTGAAAATAAGTAAAATTTCAATTAGATTATGAAAAAATTGCAAGATATAAATCAGTGAATGTCAATAAATTCAGCGTACTATATGGTCGTTTATCGAAACTAAATGATACCATGCATACAGGAAAAATTTATATAACTTGAAGTCATCCAAATTCAGGGCAATATTTATGACTTTCCTACTGACTTAAGCTGACTATAATAAGAGACTTAGCATTAGTGGAGTCGTAAAAAAAGTTTAACTGGAGCCACAATCAAATTGGAACTATAAAAATCAATGCTATCAATGTTCCTGATACACATAAAAAGTTTATAAAACTTCTTTACAATCCCTTTAAAAAGAAAGATTACCTCTGTATCTAGTGTAGCACTATAATCATTAAACCCTGAATACATATCATCTTCTTCATCACCAGCTAAATGTACATGTTCCATCATAGCCAGTCTATTCATAACTATAAAAATAAAGACATTATATTTTCCCTGCCATTGCCTTTACATCTGGTCTGGAAAATCTTAATCTTTCATTTTTTTGAGGGAAAGTTTCAGGTGAAATTTCGACTGATATGATTATCAGCTAACTAACTGTTCAATAAAGGAACTTTCAAAGGTATGTATTTACTTTAAGATGCAAAATGGCACTAATGGCCACCTTCTCTTTAGGACACTTAAACCTAAATTTCCAGAAAGCTAACCAAAAATAAATTTCAAGTAGTGAGCACTATGTTTTATTACACAATTACTTGCATAAGGGTTGACTTGAAAAAAACTTGATGACTGGTGAATAAAATACGACTGACGATTTCAACTAATTCTAACGACTTTGGGGCCTACATGTAGCTCTATTTCTATTAAATAATTCTTAAAATATTCCAAATGAATGCCTTGTATCGCAAGATTTTGTGAGAAATTGCAGGAAAAACAGAAAGTAGGTCTGTAGCTAAGCAGCAAGGATATTTATGTAGGTCTGCCTACAGTGAACTTTGAAGAGTTTAATATAAAAGATCAACAATTCAGAGTACAGACTTAAGTTGTGGGCACATATTTGTAATTTTTCTTCGGATTTTGGGCAAAGAACAATGACAGCCTAATAGATCGAGTGATAATACAAGAATCAATAAAGACCCACCTTACACTATATAAATGAATGATGATTACGATAGCCTAGCCTGTATTACTTGATAATTCTATTCCATATCACTGTTATAAACTTGGAGATTGAAACTCATTCCAAAGAATAAGCACACTTACCCCGAAAGACAGGTTATCAGAAATAATTGTTAATAGATAGGTTCCAGTTCAAATGTAAAATTCTAACTCAAACTTTGGCTTAAGAATTCCAACCCACAATGCAACAAATGTCAGGTGCGCGTAGTTACATGTAAACTTCCGGTATAAACAAAACGAAAGTAGAGACTGTTTGTGTTATGGTTCGAATCCGGGTCCATATAGGCCTATATATAGCCTGCAAACAGTCAACAGTATAGTTGAAAGAATAAATTAATAATAATTTATGTAAGCCAGGCTTTTATTGTTTGAAAATAGATCTGTTAATTCTATAAGCCTACCTAGAGACTCTGTCCATGAAATTCGAACCAATCAATTTTTCAATCAATATTTAGTATGTTTCTATGAATAACAACTCATTTCTTGGAAATTAAAACCAGTTATATGAGTTTAGATTAACTGGAAATATTCCAGTCTGCGTGTCGTACTTAATACTTGGTGATTTAAAATACTGGATTTGAACTTTTATTCTGGATAAACTTAATGCACATCAATCAGAGAAAACTCCCGAAAAACTGTAAACTACATAATCAAGTTAATGTACAATCATCTATAATATTGGTACCGCAACGGAGTTGACAGTTGTACTGGAAGTGTATTTATCTCGAAAGTGTGTACACGACAACTGCTTACAATTATATGATGGCTGCAGCTTTAGTTTGTATCTTTTTGTTTTGAAAGTCCCAAGATACCGAAGGTTATACCATGTGGAGATACTTTCTGTTTGGATTGTTTAGCATGGTACATAGGTAATAAAAAGACGTTTTTCTGTCCCATTTGTGGACTGGAAATCAGTGTTCCAGAAGGTGGTGCTAAAATGTTTATTACTAACCTTATAGTTCAAACATCCCCATGTAAAACACAAGTTGCAGGTACATCAACATCACAGACACGTACAACACTAAAACACCATTGCCCACATCACAGTAAGAAGGAGATAGAATATTATTGTCAAACTTGTAGATTAGGATTGTGTTCTAAATGTATTTACAAAAATCATAACGATCACAAAACATTAGATTTAGAATATGATTTTACTAGAGAAATGGTGGTCGAAGAACTTGCAAAATCCGAACAATTTATTACAAACAAAATTGAAGACCGAGAAAAAATTCATACGAGATTGTTAGAAACATCTGAAAAACTCAAACTTTTTTGTGATGAAGCCTGTGCCAAAGTAAGTGAATAAACTGAGAACATTATTGGTGAATTGAAAAAGAAATGTAAAAATAAACGAAAAGATATCAAACAAAATTTTGGGAGGAATGAATCAAAACTAACAGAAGCCCGACAGAAAGTTATGAAAGAGATAAATGATATCAAGACTGATTTGGGTACATCCTGTCCTATTAATCAAGAACCGTCTTTGAATCTTATATATTCACTGACTAAACTCCAAGAATTACAGAAACTCTGTGGAAACATGAAGACTGATATTCCTCCAGTGACGTATGAAGAATGGAGACAGGGGGGTGTTAATATTTGTGATTTATTGGGATCAACTGTAACTAAACCACTATATCAATCTTTTGAGAAAACTGTATTTAAATTTAACTGTCAAGATATTAAGAATGTTGAGGTTCTGTACTCTGAAGATAAACATGAAATCAACGGTATGGTATCGGGCTGTAGTGTAAGGAAAGTGAACGATAGATATGTATATATTGATATTGGGTCACTTAAAGAAAATAATCCCCAAGCTGGCCATTGGGAAATAAGATATACTGTAACAATTCTCAATAAAGATGAAGATAAGAAAGTGATCAGTGAAACGAAAACAGAGATATTTTCATCGGGGTTTTTATTTTGGAGAAGTGAAATACAACTACCATGGGATACACTAACTGATCCATCAGAAGGATTCATTAATAATGAAGGACAGTTTTATGTAGGATTTGATCAGTTCTAAATCTTATCCTGGACGACTGTGATGGTGATTCTGTAAGATCTTGAATGATTCAGACAGATAGCCGTTAAAGCAGTGTTTGATTTTAATGCTATATGTATAAGGTGAACTGTCATGTTTATATTTGAAAAATCTTGTATTTCATATTGTATCCTGTATATTGTATTCATGATACCAAGGTACTGACGTGTTTATAGTTTTACTTGTTAAAATCTTGTATTTCATATTGTATCTTGTAAATCATATTCATGATACCTGGGTACTGACGTGTTTATAGTTTTACTTGTTAAAATCTTGTATTTCATATTGTATCTTGTAAATTATATTCATGATACCAAGGTACTGACGTGTTTATAGTTTTTGTTGTTAAAATCTTGTATTTCATATTGTATCTTGTAAATTATATTCATGATAACTAGGTACTGACGTGTTTATAGTTTTACTTGTTAAAATCTTGTATTTCATATTGTATCCTGTAAATTATATTCATGATACCAAGGTACTGACGTGTTTATAGTTTTACTTGTTAAAATCTTGTATTTCATATTGTATCTTGTAAATTATATTCATGATACCAAGGTACTGACGTGTTTATAGTTTTTGTTGTTAAAATCTTGTATTTCATATTGTATCTTGTAAATAACATTCACGATACCCATGTACTGACGTGTATATTGTTTTTGTTGTTAAAATCTTGTATTTCATATTGTATCTTGTAAATTATATTCATGATACCAAGGTACTGACGTGTTTATAGTTTTTGTTGTTAAAATCTTGTATTTCATATTGTATCTTGTAAATAACATTCACGATACCCAGGTACTGACGTGTATATTGTTTTTGTTGTTAAAATCTTGTATTTCACATTGGATCTTGTAAATTATATTCATGTGATACCAAGGTACTGACGTGTTTATAGTTTTACTTGTTAAAATCTTGTATTTCATATTGTATCTTGTAAATTATATTCATGTGATACCAAGGTACTGACGTGTTTATAGTTTTTGTTGTTAAAATCTTGTATTTCATATTGTATCTTGTAAATTATGTTCATGATACCAAGGTACTGACGTGTTTATAGTTTTAGTTGTTAAAAACTTCTATTACATATTGTAAATTATGTTCATGATACCAAGGTACTTACGTGTTTATAGTTTTTGTTGTTAAAATCTTGTATTTGATATTGTATCTTGTGAATTATATTCATGATACCAAGGTACTGACGTGTTTATAGTTTTAGTTGTTAAAAACTTCTATTACATATTGTAAATTATGTTCATGATACCAAGGTACTGGCGCGTTTATAGTTTTTGTTGTTAAAATCTTGTATTTCATATTGTATCTTGTAAATTATATTCATGATACCAAGGTACTGACGTGTTTATAGGGAAGCTTGGTTGAATAGAATATTTGTAATGGACGTAAAATAGGCACAATTTGGCATCCGAAAACATCAAAAAGTGCCGAAATTTTGCGCCTGTGGCGCACTATTCGAACAATTTCTGGTTGAGAGACAGGAAGACCATTCGTTTGTTTTGGGACCCATCTCCACTCACAGAAGTGCCGTTACGAAGGGGCACACATAACGAATTTTATCGTGCGCATATTTTCGTCGATCATGTCATGTGATCAGTACAAATGCTGAACCGCCACTGAGAGGACTTGCCTTGACATTAAATTTGATTGATTGAAAGGTATCGGTCGCCCTATAGATCACCCAGGTGAAAAGTAAAGTTTTTAATCCAAAATTAATTTTCTCCTAGATCGTGGGCACCCGCTGGATGACTGAAAAATTCAGTAACATACAAGAAGGTGCCTTTCTTTCTATAATATTTCTGAGAGCTATAAAGGTACAGTGTCACCAGCTCAACTGAAACGTTCTCATGTCGCTATACCGACCCCCTTTGAATAAATCCTGCGTACGCCACAAATATTACGCCAATCTTTTTAGTTGTTAAAATCTCTTATTTCAATATTGTAATTTGTAAATCATATAGATCGCTCTGTTAAAATCAGGATCAGCATATTAAATATCTTCACAATGTCAAGCAATTACGAACTGACTGCAATAGCTAATATTCTTGAATCAGTAACTCTCGACAGAAAGTCAGAATCTCTGGGTTTATTTTCTCCACACTAGTGTTTGGCTGATATTAAAATATGGTATGAATGGATTTATTACCTAGACACTGGATCATTTTCTAGTAAATGTCCTTATGTGACCTTTATAGATAGGATAGCTACAGAGGCCAAGCAACAATATTCAAGCCCACCCAGGTATATTTGAAATGAAACACTAGGTCCTCTTTTTTTTTAAGTAGTAGTAATGAATTTCTATTTTCACCGAAAAATAAAGTGGACAACCTTTCTTATTTCCTGCTAAACAAATAATTGTTTTGGCAATTATTTCTATAAAAATATTTCAAGAAAAATTTACTTATCTCAGAAACAAATATTCTTTCAACATTTTTTGAGAAATAGGACTTTAAAGTGACTACATTTATAGGTATACACAGTTGTTATAAAGTATAACAAGAATGCATGATCTTTTTGGATTATAGAATGAAAAAGACAAACATTTTTTGCCATAATTTATTTGCATTTAAAACATGATCATTTGACCCTGAAAAGAAAAAAAAAACAAGTTATTAGATAAGATTAGATTAAACTCCTAAATAAGAAAGAATTGAAAAGAGTGCTTCATTCCCTCATGTAAGAGGCAACAATAATTCTGTATTCCTTTTTCTTTGATTCCTAGAATATGCACTCAAATGCTTTGCAATTTATGAAGACCATATCTAAACCTGATAAAATAGTTGAAGCAAACCATTATTCAGTCAAAAATCTGATAATCCACATCTACCCTTAGATTTAGCACAAGGGTATTTAAACCCATTTTCCAATAATTGGTGTTTAGAAAACTACACTATAGTGACATAATATCAACCAATGTTATGGAGATATACACATTGGCCCACAACTAGCATGACATTTTGTGTATTCCCTAAGGTTCATGTGTTTTCCATTAAATTATATTCTTATATCACTCCAATACCTACCTTCTTTCTCTTGTCTCCACCCAATTCAAAATGTTTACATCGTTTAATGACCACTTGTTTTCTTAAATTACATCTCAAACATTCTAACCTTAATACAACTTTTTTGGTTGTCTTGGCCTGAAATAATTACAAATAAGGATTAATCACATACCAATTAATAATGTAAGATGTCCACTTTTGTTTCAGTGAATGAGTATCTAATTGAGCAAACTTATAAGTTTCCCAAGCCCATAGAAAACACTATCATACAGGTTTTGTGATATGTAAATGAATTTCAGTAGCAAATTTATTCCAATAAGACCTCTGAAAGAACCATCAAGTTATATATCCCTTTAGTAAACTCTGCTACTCAAGGTAACTCTACTTAGGTGAAAAGAAATGTCACCCTCACAGAACAGATAATACTATAGAACATTAGGAAAGAGGCTCAATATTATCTTTAACCCATGAAGAGCTGTATTTATCTCCTTCCTTTACACCACCAGATCTGTCCTCATTAGTTACCCAGTATCAGATCTTTCAACTAGATTGACTAACTACAGATAGGCACAGTTGTGCAGGAAGGCATATTTCCAACATATATTCTGAATAAACGTTAACGTCACTTATTTTTCATGGTCTTTTTTCTGGTCGAGGTTTACCTTTTCACCAAGTAAAGAAATTTACAGAAATAAATCCTCTCATAAGACAAACTGACATCAAAGACTTTTCAGTCCACTACTGCGTTTAGTTTTAATCATAGAGGAAATAATAGTACAAATAAACCAAGTACTAACTAACCCAAAATAACAATTTGATGAAGCAGCTAATGAACTTTTCACATGAGGAAGTATATCAATCATAAGTGAGTAAGTATTTCAAAGTAGAAAGTGGTATCAGGTGTCTTTATCAGGAATTAAATTTGGAATCTTAAGTGTCATCATTCTCAAGATTGTTAAATTCAAAAAATAGCAAAAGAGGATATGTGGAATTCATTTCATTTGACAACCCTTCTAGTCTTGTAAGGAAAGAGTGAAGGTCAATGTATTTCCTCTCACAAGACCATATGTCATCAACCTGGTCAGTCCATTACTGCAAAATTTCTTTCAAATTCCTTATAGCAAGTCACAAATATGTTCAACTAGCTGGCTTCAAACATGAATCCTCTCATAAGACCAATTGACTTCAGCAATATTTCAGTCCACTACTGCGTTTAGGAAGGCATATTTCCAACATATATTCTGAATAAACGTTAACGTCACTTATTTTTCATGGTCTTTTTTCTGGTCGAGGTTTACCTTTTCACCAAGTAAAGAAATTTACAGAAATAAATCCTCTCATAAGACAAACTGACATCAAAGACTTTTCAGTCCACTACTGCGTTTAGTTTTAATCATAGAGGAAATAATAGTACAAATAAACCAAGTACTAACTAACCCAAAATAACAATTTGATGAAGCAGCTAATGAACTATTCACATGAGGAAGTATATCAATCATCCAAGTGAGTAAGTATTTCAAAATGGAAAGTGGTATCAGGTGTCTTATCAGGAATTAAATTTGGAATCTAAAGTGTCATCATTCTCATGATTGTTCAATTCAAAAAATAGCAAAAGAGGATATGTGGAATTCATTTCAGTTGGGTTATTTGACAACCCTTCTAGTCTTGTAAGGAAAGAGTGAAGGTCAATGTATTTCCTCTCACAAGACCATATGAAATCAAACTGTTCAGTCCACTACTGCAAAATTTCTTTCAACTTCCTTATAGCAAGTCACAAATATGTTCAACTAGCTGGCTTCAACCATGAATCCTCTCATAAGACCAATTGACTTCAGCAATATTTCAGTCCACTACTGCGTTTAGTTTTAATCATAGAGGAAGCCAATTGCCAATTATAGAAATTTGATAGGATACACACATATTTGAATTTAGGAAAAACAAGGAATTCAGGTGATACTTGTACATCATTTGAAAACCTACAATAATTTGTCAATAGCTTCAAGTTAAATTTTCAAGCTTTCAATACTTGGATAACTCGTTTTCATAAACAAAATAAAAGTTTGGGCTTCATTTTACATTTTACTAACCTTTTTGTGAAAAATAGGTTTAGTTTGTCCACCATAACCTTTCTGTTTTCTGTCGTAACGACGTTTGCCTGAAAATAAAAGTTTACAAGTCAGACTTTCAAGTTTCTCTTAAACCACGAAGACTTCCAAATAGGCCGAGGCAAAAAATGTCAACCTCACAGAACAGATAATACTATAGAACATTAGGAAATTTATTCCAATAAGACTTCTGAAAGAACCATCAAGTTATATATACCTTTAGTAAACTCTGCTACTCTAGGTAACTCTACTTAAGTGAAAAGAAATGTCACCCTCACAGAACAGATAATACTATAGAACATTAGGAAAGAGGTTCAATATTATCTTTAACCCATGAAGAGCTGTGTTTATCTCCTTCCTTTACACCACCAGATCTGTCCTCATTAGTTACCCAGTATCAGATCTTTCAACTAGATTGACTAACTACAGATAGGCACAGTTGCGCAGGAAGGTGTCCACTTGATATAAGAATTATGCCAAACCTACGGATTTGTACCCAGTAATAGTGATTTCTTGATACAAATGGTTGACAAACTATAACAGCTTTCTATTTAGGGACTCCAGAAGGGATTTTGACACTAAACTGTGGGGTTTTAATTTTTAAGTCGTACAACTTCAAATACTACATAGTATAACCATAAGTAAGATAAGGACTTTGATATGTTTTACTTACCTTGTGCATGAAGTGACGCTTTACCAGCTTTATACTGAGTGACTTTATGAAGGGTATGCTTATGGCATCTTGGACTCTGGCAATAAGCCTTTCTGGATTTGGGTATGTTCACCTATAACAAAAAAACACACATAGGTCAAAAATGGCAATCTTTTAAAAGAGGATCTATAAGACCTTTTTATTCTATCAATAACATTATAAATCTGCTGAATTGCACGACTCTTCATTATCATATAGCCTAATGCAAATCTGTTCAGATTGGAATGTCATTTAAGCTGTAAAATACAGCATGGAGTGGTGTGCCATGTTCGATTGACAGAACGGCAACAGTAGCAATGTCTGAACTGCAAAATGAAATGGATCAGGGCCTAACACTACACAACAAACAGAAGAGTAATCATCATGATGACTGACTTGACTTTTACTGTCGTCACTGGCGATTGAGACATTTTGTCGACGGACAAACATAATAATTTGAACAAATAGCATGGTCAAGGAGACCACAAAATTTGAAAAGTAAGGAGATAACATCTATTTGACAAACGCTGGTGTTGAGATCATGAATCTCGGATCGCGAATATTTGGCCAAAGCAGGTCGACTTCATAAATTGCATGTCTCTGCAAATGGAAATCTTAAGGGACAACAGTACAATAAACTGTCTTGTAGCGTAATATGTACATCAAGGATAACATATGATTTCAAAAAGAAATGTCATATATTCCAGAAATACGGATGTTTGAGGATTTAAACATCTACAATGAGATGTTGGTCATTACCATTTCGGCATTGAAAGGAAAAGGAAATACATAGCGCGCATGCGCCTTATCATCTTCCTTCTTTTAGTTGTTTACAAATTTCACACACGCTTCAGATCATCGAAATGAGCTCTGGAAAAGAACCAGAAACAGAAAAGCCAGCTCTTTCCAACAAAAATGATGAAGAGTCTGACCCTGAATTATTAAAGGTGAAGATCGAATCATAAACTGTCCAAATATTTGGTATTGAAATTCCGAATAATATCTTTGACTTTTAACAACCGAAAACAAAATGGCATAAGTTGATAAAAGGTGTCTTTTTACAGCCGAAAACTCTAAAGCTACACAACAGGTCGATTCCCTGCATTCCCTGTTATCTTTATCTGTCATATTGCTTCTATGATAAGCAGGAACAAAAAACTCTTGAATACCAATTTCAAATTCATGCACCGGCATTGCAAAAGCAGAAACATCTCACTAATGCGAGCGTTGATCTAACATCTAACATTCTGAATTTGAATATGTGTTGTCTATTGCTTAAGCTGTGAATATTTTGCATGTTATTGTCTTGAAAGAAATATAAGGTTCTGGAACCTGGTTTAAGCTTATAGTGAAATAAAAAGGTTTTAGCAGCCCAAACCAATGCCTATAACCAATTTGTCACAACATATTGATATTAGATTGTTTTTTACCAGGTACATTCTGCTAACAGTTGGGAAACAGCAGAGTTGGGAGATGATAATCGAAAAAATAAATTTTTACGACTGATGGGTGCTGGAAAGGTAAATTGAATTTGAACTTAGATTCCTGATTTTATATCATGCCTGGAAATCAAGAACTTGCTATCTCTGTCATATTTTTAACAGCTTTTAGGGTTTATTTGGCAGGTTTCAAATGATTTTCCCTAATGACTAATGGTTCTTGAGGCTTTTTAAAGTTGAATTATTTGATGTTAGTTTTGTGAAATATCCCACAGAATATAACCACAGCGAAAATCTTGAGCTCCCTGTGTATTAAAAGATTTATTTTATTTTCAGAATAAAGAACATCATGGTAAATTAGTGATAGGTGACCATGCTCAATCACATTCTAGACCTAGTAAGTACGATAATTGGAGATGCAAGTATTTCAGGGACTCAATTTTGCCCAATTTCTATTACTTGTCTTACGTTTGTGTTCTTAAAACTCTGGATAAACTTAATTACTCACAAGATATTAAAGACCAATTATGTCTTGAATGATGCAAATACAAGTTATTAATGTCCCTGATACACATACACTGGCTAGTAAACTTTTCAAAGATTTAATACATTAAAGGGATTGGGGAACAGGCTTATGCCTATATAACCCCTTTTCAAAGATTGGTTCTTTATAATGGTCACATGGAAGTGTGGATATATTTATTGGCTCAAGCTAACCTATACAATAGCAATTTTTTCTGCCAAATTGATAAATAGTGGCATGGACCATATTTCTAGTGTAGTGTAAGGGTATTTGTCCTTAACAAGTGTACATCAAGAACTTTTTGATATGAAATGAATGGAGTTTTAGTATGTACTTTTGGAGAGACTGGTATGTAGGTGGAATAGATAACAATATTTTGATGAATTATTTTGGAGTTACTGCTCTTGATTTTCAAAATCACTTCAAAATTGACATGCTGGGTTATGCCACTCTGTAAAAGGGCTTGTCAACTCTGCATCAATTTCAATTGGCAAATTTTGAAATTTTAGATATGCAAATTTTAGTATGTAAGGATTAAAAAAAATACTGAATTATTTTATTCTTTCAGAGACAGATACAGAAAAAATATCAAATGAATTGGAAAGCCAATATCAGGAAGGTCTTTCGTTAAAATTAAGCGGTGGGGCACGGGCTCACAAAGGGTTGGGTTTCCAAGAGGAGAAACCAAGAAGTGAAACCACGGAAAAAGAAAGTGACAAATGCTCAGAAAGTAATGAAAAAAATCAAACTGACAATGAGAAACAATCGCAGGATTCCAAAGATTTAAAGGAACCAGAGAAAAGAAAGTTCGAGGAATGTCCTAAGTCTGAAAATGAAAGTAAACCCACATATGAGAAGAAGATGAAATTTGTTAAATCAAGCTCTTGAAGACTCATCAATGGGATACTAGTGTCTAAATATTTGTTTTAAACCGATAGACCACAATATTTAGACTTTATCCTGTTAAATATTAGAGTTTTCACTTAAAGGACTTTGAAGTATATCAATTTCATTGACAAATATCATCCAATGAGATGATAGGCATGTATGCAATTCTTAATCATCTTAAATGTCTAGCAGCCAGTGTCAGTGAAACAGGGCTTTGATGAAGTACTTTGGATTCAAAAGACGCCGCAATTTGAATTCAGTGTTTGTATCATTGAATTACATTAGTTTATACCTGTATTCAAATGAATACAAAACATTGGAACAGGATCAGCATTGTTCAAATTATTTTCTGGGGTTAACCTATGTTAGTATTAAAGGGGTATTCTGCTTTTTTTCATTATCAAAAAAGTCGTAAATTACATTTCAAAATATTTCTTAAGTATGCTGTTTATATCTATGTATTTCTTGATGAAACTTATTTTTGTTTTAAAAGGGTTAATTAAAAACGGAGATTACTAATTGTTAATTAAGCAGTTTGACCTAGTTTTGGTGTTTGGCTTTATAATGGCTCAATATTATTAGTTGAAACCTTTAGAATACGTAGGAAACACATTATTTCTCTACAATTAAGTTTATTTTACAAATTTTCGACCTACAAAAAAAAGCAGAATGTCCCTTTAACCCCCAATTTTAATGTCACCTTTTATGAATAAAAGATTGTTTATATGAAAAAAAAATTTTTTCATTTTCTATTGTGAATCACATTTTAGTCTAGATCCTAATTTACGGTCTACCCCAGTCCCTTTATTTCAACTTGTTTCAAATTTGTTTAACCCATTGTGAGGCCACATTTTTACATTTTTTGATTCATTTTAAGGAGCCCCTTCACTATCCATTCCACCAATCATACCTTAGTTTCAGAAACAGGAATGTTTTAGCTTACATAATCAGTAATAGTGTTCACAGCTCATGGTCGAAATTTGAGCCTTCATACCCATCTGTATTTATAATTATTCACGTTTGAAAGTTTTAGTGAGACTATGCCATATATAGATAACACATATATAAGAATAGTCAGTAAAATTTCTAGTTAGAGGTATATTTGAAGGAATTATGCGATCTTCATGTGATATAGTACTTCTTAAGACTATTAAAGCAATAAAATGCCGACTGTTCCCCTTTAACAGCAAGAATTTTGATATATTGCAAAGTCTTTGAGGAATTACATTAACCACAGAGGTTGCATAGGAAAGTTGAAAACATGATTTTAACAAGAATTTTTTCTCAGTTTGTAAAAATATGTAGTAGTAGCCCAATCTTCAACATAAACCTGGCTTGAATCAGCAATGCTTGGACTTTGTTTCAACAGAATGCCAAATTCATTAACATATATTCTAGAAGAGATATGGACAAGTTAGAATTTTTATTGTAAAAAATGAAAATAAACAATAACAAAATATGTTTGCTACAACAAGCAATAGGCCTATAATACAGTTACAAAATATGACAGTGACATCCATATTGTATTTTCTGTTTTCTTTTTAAGAGTCATGTCATATCATTTGTTGATTGTAAACACTAAGAAGGAATTTTCTGATCTTGATGAAACTTGGGATCTATATGCATATTCATGAGATCTTGGTCTAGTTCAAAATCAATAATATGCTGGCCTACTAATTTTGAGTAATTGCCCTTGACTTAATGCACCTTCAACATTGCTGAGGATGCCCTTCATACAGAACCATGGAACATGAGTCTACCTATCTGTACTATAAAATGTTCCACTTTCCAGTCTTTCGATAACTTGTTAAACATTTGTGTGCCATTCTACGGATTTTAGTATCTGGGTCATGATTGAATTTTTCTAGCGCGTCTGCAATGGCATATTCTAAATGAGCTGGACTTCCGTCACATAATGTATGTAAAACTTGTTGTCTGACATCTTTATCTTCATCATCCATCATCTCAAACACTCGGTTCCAAAAATCTTCATGATCTTTCTTGACACGACATGGACACATTTCTCTCAAAGCTCTCTTTCTAACTTGCGGATGCTCATGTTTGGTTAAATCTATGATTGTTTCAATGGTGGTGGTTTCTTTGCACATTCTTATGGCAGTTGAATAGCTTTCATTGGCCATTTTCTAATTTCTAAAAAAGAATTCAAAGGAATCAGAAATAAATTTTCATAACATCATTTAATAAATTCTAGTTCTTTGGATGGGACAATAATCTGAGGCCCTTTGTGGCTTCCCACCACAGTTGAAAAACTAATCCCACAGTCTTGGCAAAATTTCCTCATTGAACAATTCATGGCATTTCCAGTTTCCATAAGCTCTATCAGGTGCAGAAAAGTAGAACATTAACTTCCATTCATTTCATTTATCATGTCATAAGGTGGCATAGTCTGATGTGTTCTGGACGTACATGCCCTAAAACTTCTGCCATTAATATCAAAATTAATAAAGATTTTTTTTTTATCAAAATCAAAAATCCAGACTGCAATCACTTACCTTGTATAGTAAAAGAACAGGGAACAATTCCTTATCGTTTGAGAACGTTCTCTTCAGACTTGTTCAGAGTGAGATTCTATTTTACCTTGGACTAAGTTTAATGAGCACTACAATCTCATATAATAATCATGATGAGTGTGTATACAGTTAGAACAGTTAATTTAGCCTTAAATATCAGTTAAATTGCACAAGTTTCGACCAATAATTTTCCAGAAAACTCTTTTCAGGTAATGGTGCAATAAGCAGCTTGGCAAGGGGCCTAATAATAAGATTATGGCTATTTTCACTTTCGATACGTCATTTTTGGTTGCAATACAAATTGTCATTCTTTAATTTCACCATTTTCACTTCCGATTTTTATCTTTATAAATGATTTATATGCAGATTTGATCTGTAAATTTCTAAATGCGATAAATTATTAAAGTTAATGAAAATTTGGTTAAACGTGACCATGCTCATAATTATTATATTATAAACAGATCTGGTGTAATCGTGACTACATTTGAGGAGGATAACTCTCTTTGATTATTCTTTTTTCTAAAGAAAGAAAGCATTGCTGTTATTGAGCAGAGCAGAGTTACAGACCAGTAGTAAGGTGAGAGTTCATAAGAATATAATCAAATAGATCTTTTACGCCAATATGTTCTGGATAGCATTTGTGCACTGCACTTGCAAATTCTTAATTTGATGGGCATTGGCCGTATGGGTCATAATCATAGCCTACTCTACAGTCATAGACTAGTACTAGTAGGGGCCTACAACCTACGCTACATCATCCATCATGTTCAAATCAAGGTGTTGGCCGTTGGTATGATTTTGCATCGGCTGATATGAATGAAAGTAGAGAGAGACCATAAAGGCAAGTTTTTTGGTAAGAGTTGCACATGGTTTTGAAATTGCAATCAATATTTAGATCAACAAAGGCAAAGAGCACAATTTAAACTGACCCTATCATTTTTCAGAATGAAAATCTGAGTCAGCAAATTTAAACACAAGTTAATAAGGTTAAGATCTATTGATGGCAATGAACTTGTGTAATGGCTCAAAATATTATTCCACTGAAGGCACCTATCACCAAGAAGTTTCAATTTGGACCGTGGAAGTTGACATCAACAAAAAGTCATATTTTAACTTCAGAGGGATCAGAAAGAGAAAGGTAATCCTTTGACTTTGAAGGTGAAAAAAATCTTTGAGATTTCGACATCCAGGTGTGGTAAAAGGTATTATTAAAGCTGAAGTGTTGCCGCCTACATAAAATATAGGAGTTATGTCTCTGCATGGCCAATAACAAATTAATAAAAATTGTGAATTTTGGTTTCTCTAAAAAGGTTACGAATTAATCTTTGTTTTTATTTGCTACTGGTGATAACTTTTTCAAAAACAGTCTTATCTCAGAAAATTATATGATCCATCAGTTAAAATCTGTTTTCATTCATTTCAAAATCTACTGTTATAAATTTATTTTTCTAGGTTTGAAAATGTATTGGAATTACCCCAGGTACCTGAAATGGTATTTGCTGAAAATATTTTGAGATTGGAACATTCTGGTGGTTTTGGTGTGGAGTTTAATGCATTAGATGCTTTAAAACAAGTTGAAGCTCACGATGACCCTCTGAAAGTAGCAGCAGCTAAAGTATGGCAAGAAGCTAGGTAAATCACCTTCAAAACTTGAATGATTGATACTGTGAAATTAAATTATCACCTTAAACCCCAGTACTACCATGCACATTATATCATATAGTGTTAATGCCATACTCAGAGTATGAGTTCAGAGTTCAGAGTATTTGACTGTTTACTTTTTGATGCTCATTGTTCAAGAGGGCCAAAGTGTCTATGTAAATTAATCTGCAGTTAAAAGAACTAAAAAAAACATATACAAGCGAAAATGTTTACACATAGCATGTATTGCAGACAAACCAGGCCCTGTATTCTCGAAACGAACTTAGCGCTAGGATGTCCTAGAATCAATGTTAGAAGATGAGAACCTAGGGCATCCTAGCGCAAAGATCGTTACGAGAATACAGGGCCACATGTCTGATTTTCATCCTTTGAGATAACTGTGATGGTTAAAGCAAATAATTATGTGGTTATCTGTTTGATATTATGGAGACAGAAGGTAGCAGAACTGTTTATTTGACTCCATTTTCTGGAAATGTACTAACATGGACCTGTCCCAGAATCATCAGCATCTGTTGGCCAGTAATTTATAGAGTATGTATTACATTTCCTGAGCATCACAGTTGACCCAAAATAATTCTTCTTTCAGGTCGGAATGTGAACATATTAAAAATGTAGTCAAACCATTTGATTGGACATTTTCAACTGATTATAAAGGAACAACTTTTGGTAATATAAAGGTAGATATATATTGATAAAAACTTTGTGTTTCTTATCTTAATGCATCAAAATTCGTAGAGTTGGTTTAAAGAGGTCTAACCCTTGATACATCATGTTGATATGAAAAATTTATAAAGCTTAAAATGTAATAAATCTGATTGAGTGATATGATCTGACAAAATTTCTACAAACCATGAGTTCTAGTTCACCAATCAAATCCCCTTTTTAATTAAAGCTTTTTTAATTAGTCTTTTTTAAATTGAATTAGACAAACCAGAATTAATGATTTGGAGCGCTTATACTATCTATTAAAATAGTACCTTATTTTCATTCTAATTTGGGGAATTTTTTCAGGTAGAAAGAACAGAAGAAAGAATAGATTTAGAGAAATTGAAGAAAAGAGAAGAAATATTATTTTATGATGATTTTTTGTTATTTGAAGATGAATTATCAGATAATGGCAGCTCTATGTTAAATTGTAAAATAGTAAGTTACAAAACATAAAAATCATACCATTTATGTTCTAAATTTTACTGATTATACTTATGCACATTAAGCTTCAAAACTGCAGTACCGGGTAGTCTTAGAAAGACTTTGCATTGATGGCAATATAAAGTTTTAACATTTAATATAAAAACAATTTGACCTAAAATGTCACAAATTTTGGCTTAAAATTGCCCTCGGTAGAATTTTAAATTGATAATTATATGTGTCTATGTGCAGTTGAAAGTAAAGAACTCTAGAAGTATTTAAATTATAAAGAAGTTATTTTCACTCTAGAATACAATAAGGTTTAAAAGCTTAAGATAGGTTATGGTGTTGTATCAGTCCAGTGGTATAAAGTTCTATCACTGGAATATTAAGCGCACCTATAGAAACAGAGAAAGTAACGACGGTTTATTTTAGAGGTATAAATAACATTGTGCGATATTTCTCTACATTATCATACAAAGATAACCTCTGAGATCTGAGTCAGTTATCGCACTTTACTTCAGAGGCAAGAATTTGGTAACTTGGTATTCAGCGTAAGTTATTGTTGATACTGATATGATATTAATTTTTTACAGCGTGTTATGCCATCAAGTTTTTTTATTTTATTACGTTTTTATATGAGAGTAGATGATGTTATTGTCAGAGTTAATGATACTAGATTATACTATGAGGTAAGTCATTCTGTTGTACACTTATCTGAGTTCTGAAAAATTTTTATGACTTAAATGTCATGTTGACTCACATAGTAGAGGAAAAATTTTGGCCCTCCATGGACACCCTGTGCTAGCCATGCGACTGGTCAGAGATCTGTTGTATCTCTGTCCGAGTTCTGTTGTATCTCTGTCCGAGTTCTGTTGTATCTCTGTCCTAGTTCTGTTGTATCTCTGTCAGAGCCCCGTTGTATCTCTGTCCTAGTTCTGTTGTATCTCTGTTCGGGTTCTGTTGTTTCTTTGTCCTACTTCTGTTGTATCTCTGTCAGAGTTCTGTTGTATCTCTGTCAGAGTTCTGTTGCATCTCTGTCAGAGTTCTGTTCTATCTCTGTCAGAGCTCTGTTGTGATATACATTTGGCATGTTCCAGTATATAAGCATATATGAATAATGATTCAAATTCTTTTCAAGTAGACTTTCTGGTTCAAAATAAAGTAAATAGCTTAATTTTGGCATTACGATGAAGAGTCAAAATTGTAACAATATATAATTATATTTGTAGAGAGATAGTAATTATATATTAAGAGAATACAGTAGTAGAGATGATCAAATCAAAGACCTAAAAGTGAGTAATATTTATTTTTCATTCGTTTTTATTGAAATGTCTGTGAATGAAATGGTACTTCTAACTTTCCTGCTTCTGGTTTGGCAAATGAAGACTGACAAAGACATGAGGTGTGCAATGAGGAACAATACAATAATTTTAATCAAAGATCATGTTAATCAAAAATCAACTAAAACTAAGGATTTTATTATGTTACAAAAGCTGCTTATATCTAGGGCCTTTGTAATAGTGACATCTCAAAAACATTAGTAACATTGCAAGAAACTCATATGCCTGTCAGAAAATGTTGCAAATTGATGCTTTCAGTGTCCCAAATTCACTACAAGTTAAAAACTCTTACAATCATTGTAAGTTTATCTAACACAGTAGAACTCTTCTATTTCAGATCCCTATACAAATATTAACAGATATGAATCAAGTTGGACCTAGATTAACAATAAGACAAGAGAAATATGACAAGTTAGTGTTCCCTGGTGAAGACAATAAACCTACAAGTTGATATTACGTTAATAACTAGACAGTCATGATTATTCTTGTCGAGTCCATATTGTAAATAATGGATTTTTGTGTCATCATCTTGAACAGTAATTAAAGAAGGAGTATAATATGCTAGCTTTATATTCACAAGATTTGTTGAAAATTTATTTTCATTTGGCCAAAGAATTCTTTTGGCATTTTAAAATTATTCTGGATTTTTCCACTGATAGCAGAAGAAATAATCATTTTTTCATGAACTTCATTTGCTGGTAACATTTTTTAGAACTAATTTGGTTTTCAATATGTTTTCATTACAACATTCAGTTCTTAATGTGCTCTCCAACTGTTATATATTGTCTTTATTAATACCACAATATCAAACTGTGATATCCATTATAAATAGGTGTACTGTTGTGTTCCTACAAAATTTGTTTTGAATAATACCTGGTGTGCACACTTTTCCATGGTAATAGTAATAAATTTTTCACATGAAATGATTTTTTTTATAGACCTACATCTCACTTTTGAAAATAAGGATTGTGACTTCAGGTTTGTCTACAATTCTATGAAAAACATAAATTAGGAAGCAACATTTTTACGCCAGGCTAATGTCTTCAGTGACATCTAAGGAGAAAATTATAGTCTTAAACTGACTATCACTTATTTAATTGTAGATAGACCAAAAGTCGGATTTAATATGAAAATGTCATTGGATTTTATGGCAAATAAATAGAATAAGGTATGGGTTGTTTTAGGTAAAAGAGCATCACTGAATCACCAATAAAAAAAAATATTTATTAAGTCAATTTATTCTATAATGCATCAAAAAATTACAAAGCACTTTCTATTTTAAAATGAATAAATATATGATATAAATATAAGTTATAATGCTGTAGATAATAAATACTATATAAGGTTATTCACAATTATTTTACATTATGAAGTAGATCAATAAATTATGTTATAACATATTACATACACATTCTGAACAGTTATAATATAACCTGATGTATTTTGGTATTTATTTAATACATCCATGAATGTTTTAACCTTTCCACCTGACTCATTTAATAACATCATTTCATACTGGAAATAGTTAACAATTTGAAATTATCAATTATGCATACATGATTGTTAATAAAGCTTGATTTTAAATTTGTTAACAATTTGAAACATTTCAAAAAAATACAGGGGACTAATAATATTAGGATATCTAATATATACAAGGATTCTTCAATAAACAATTAACAAACAATACTTTAAAATGAGACAAATAAATGAATCTTAAGATCACAAGACAATTTTTGGCAATCAGAGACAACGCATTAATGAGACATTCAAAAATAGATATGGAAGTATTCTTTCATTTCATAACATGAAGCAAATTTTGACAATACAAATTGATAATCATTTTGACAATGTAAAGCTATTACTAACTCCATTTTATACCTTGACTTCAATAGCCATCTTTCTTATATCACAAAAGTTTGTAAATTCAGCGATTTGGATGGATTGTACATAAGAAAATACAGCCAATCAGAGTCCTGGATAGAAGGTCTACAAACAATAAGCCATAATGTCTAGTCCGTCAGCCAAGGCCTATGATTAGCTGTATAAGCTAGCGTACAATCCAATCAAATAGCTGCATTCTGTGATAGAAGAAAAATGGCTATTGCAGTCAAGGTATAAGACAAAGTTCATAATAGCTTGACTATTGTGAAAATGATAAATAATAGAACAAAAATTTAAAGCAGCAATCTTCATGAAAAATCTAAATTCTGACGAATTTAAGGATGCACACAACCATCTAATCAGCAGCAAGGTAATGGAAAAAGATATGGAATATAGAGGTGCAATATTTTAAAATACACATCACACTGCCAAGGCTCAAATCAAACTTTGTAAATTTTGGTTTTTTGGAAGGTTTCTTCTGCACCTTGGTGAAGATTTATTCTAAATCGAATTCTTAATCCAACTTTTTTATCCATAGATTTAGTTTTTCATTTCAATGGCAGTATGAATTGCTCTTCTGGACCAGGATACATATTCTCGAAACAATCTTAGCATCAGGATACCCTAGAAACAGTGTTAGAAGTATAGACCCTAGGTCATCCTAGAACTGGTGCCCAAAAATCTAATGATAATCAAAATTTATCGTCTTTTTTTGTGAAGTCAGAGTCAAAATTTTTTTAATTGAAAATTTAAAATCTAATAGTAATTTTAGGAAAATAAAAACTCAACAAAGTCAATAACATGTACTTACTCAATGTACATTTAGCCATGGCAATTTTCTCATCTGACTTCCCTGAGGCCAGGCATATCTAGACTGGTACTCTGAGGAGGTAGGGGGAAGAATTTCAGATCTGCCCAATGTGCGACCATCAACTACAAAGTTTGGACGTGGGTTAATCACAAAATGACTTGTTGGCAAATTTAGATTGGGTGGAATGTATTCATCAGAATACAAAGTAGTTCCAGGAAAGATGACATTAATTCCAGCTCTCTCGGCGGCAGATTTGGTATTGGTCAGTGAAGCAGTCAACAGCTGTTGAGACTTCATCTCCTTGGTCTTGGTCTGATCCATGGCATTGAGACTATTGATGGTTTTAATGTCACTCAATGTTTGTGTGAATGATGGTTGAGCTGTAACACCAGGTTTTATCATTGTAGTAGATCTAGGATATAAACTATCAATGGTTCTGTAGCCTGAAATATTGACAAAAATTGCATTTTTTGCTCGACCTTAACTTCACAAGAACACAAAGGCTTACAGACACTATTTCACCCTAAAATATCCTAAAAAATAGAATGTGGATGATTGATACTTGTTGACTTAACTAAGTCATAAGCGATGTCAAAATATGAATATCGCATCTCGAGGTTGTGTATCGATACTTGACTTTTTATCCCATTAACCCATATCATGTATTGTGACCTTTGTATATCATGATAAAATTACTGAATGCGTCACAAGATGATTTAGTAAGAACAGTTTTTACTTGTCTATGGTTAAGACCATCCCAAATTCTACCAATCAGATGATGTAATTGGAAAATCAGAATCCTGCATAGCAGCAATTTAGTTCATTTATTCCCATTTAGACAGAAAAGAAAGTCATCCATGCAGTATTTCAGACAATTTTAAGAAGCTAAGAATAAAGCTAGCCCTATTCAATCTGCATCCTATAAAATCATTCAAGGAAGGAAAATACTAGCCTACCTTTGTAGACTTTCTCTGGTGGTTTAAAATCACCGTACTGTATTCTGGAGCCCATGGTACCATATCTTTTAGTACGTAAGTCAGCTAGTGGAGTACCGATTGCTAAATAGACAAAAAGTACATAATATATATGGACCTCAATTACACCATTAGATGTTTTTTTATCAGCTGGTCAAGTTTTATTTTAATTGACATCTGCAACATTTTTTAGAATGAAAAATCTTGTGCTTAGTCAGTCTACAATCAAATAAGGATTTACCAGCAGATGTGAGGGCTTATATTTTATATGTCCTAATGTCCTAATGTGGCAAACTATTAGTCATTAATGCTTATTATTAAGAACACACAAGAGATAAATTGATTTATTTAGTACATTACATTAAATTTTACTAATAAACCAATTTATCTCTTGTGTGTTCTTAATAATAAGCATTAATGACTAATAGTTTGCCGATCAATTCTTATCATTATGTGCCTGAGGATGACAGGGGAAACACGCGGAAACGTTGCATAAAACTTTAACCAGTGATTGTTGTTCCATAAAGCTGTATCTATATATCGTACTCAAAATTCAGCAAGATAAGATAAACATATTTCAAATAATCAAAATATGTGATAATGAAATTAGTATTAAAAGATTTTGGTTTTGTTAATCCCACTAACACTGTTATCTATATTGTGGTTATCATAATCCTCTAATTACATTGGGATAATCCTGTTTATGATTAAGGAACTGTGATCTATTACAACATACAGACAAACTAACTCTAACAGTTTGTAATCACATGAAAACATTTATGTAAAAAATTTTAGACAACTTTACATCCTACATCTTGGTGTTCGATGGAGACAGCTGCATTATCCTATTTCTTGATTTTCAACAAGAAAGACCCATCCAAACAAGACACTTTATACGTGTCAGCCCCTCAGACCTGTATCACTGACGAAGGGATAAATACTAAAATATTATCTCAACCTATTCCAGGTTAAGACAGCAGCTCCCTTGAAAAACTTAATGCCTTTACTGTTAGCCCTTCAGCCATTTTTGGAAACCCTGTGTGCTACAGGCTGTGCATTTTAAAATCACTAAATATTTCAAAATGAAAAGCAATTTTGATTCTTCTTCAGCTTTAGTCAATATTGGTTGACAGGAATGTTTAAAAGTATTGGTACTTACAAGTTCTAGCTCTTTCAAGTCTCATCATTTGTTGTGTTTGGGTACGAGTTGGTTGTGGTACTCTCATTTTATTATTTCTATAATTAGTAAATCTATCGGTCACTCCAATATGGTCACTAAACTGATGTATTCTATTGGCAGCTGTAGCAGCAAAAGGATCTATATTCTGTAATAGATGTGAAGAATGAATTTGTGAAGAAGTAAGTAACATCACAGATATTTGCTATAGGCCTAGACAAAGTGAACTCCATATGAAAGTAAAATTCCACAGAGTTCTAGCTTTTTTATTGGGGACATCTAACACTTCCTATTGCAGCATTCTGAATTCTTTACCAAAAAATGAAATGAAATGAATGGAGTCCTGTTATTCTGCACCTTTTGTGGCTAAAGAAGATGAGCAACACCATGCATAGTGCAATGAGGAAAATTTTGCAAGGACATCCGCACTAGTTGCTCTTTTTCAATTTCAAACTGACATGTTATCTTTAACTGTAACAGACTAGCATACAAAAGCCCCTCCGACCTTCATCACTGACAGGAAGCGTTTTGGGGCACAGTTCCCATCAATTTTCAATCAGACCTCTGTGATCCCTGCAATGCTACTAAAAGCATTACATGATAAAAGCAGATGGTGACATCATCAAACACTTAGTTTTAGTGGAATCGCAGGAACCACAGACGTCTGACTGAAAATTGCAATGATGAAAATTGATGTTAAGTTTAGAAAACCTCTTTACAATCCCTTTAAGAGTTTGTCTCTCTCAAATATTACCTGTTGAACTTGATCTAAATTATTTAAAGCCCATTCATGTTTCTCTCTTAATTCATTCTCTTGTTTATCTTTTAATTTATCCATATTCAGTTGAGATTTTAAATCAAACAGCATAGCACTAGTTTTATCCATAGTTGATACCAAATCTAAAACAATAGAAATAATAAATGAATTTCAAAATCTATGCTGTGACAAAAATGAAACTTTGCTCACAAACATCAAAGCAAAAATTTTAAGGTGGTAACTTCATTTGTGTTAGTAGTTGAGTTCATATATTAGAAATATTAAATATTTAGACTCAAAATTCCCCTTGGTAAAATCATTTTCTTTAATAATTAAACTCTTAGATAGACATACACAGATCTTATATATATAAATGACATTTCAAATCCTAGGCAACCAAAAGACTTAGTAAAATTTTATTTTGGGACCAAAAGTGGATCTCCTGTCAATGAAGAACTTTGCAAATACTGAATAGTAACATAAACTTTCAAGATTTCATTTGGCCCAGTAGATCCCCAAGGGACTACTAGACATTTGTATGATACTATCTCAATCTCAGTCTCAGTCTCTCAGTCTTCAGACCTGCATGATTGCACTGGCCTACACAATGAATAATACTTAAAAATCTTACTGTTTCGATGAGCCATCGTCTGTCTGGGGTCGAAATTATTCTGCCAAGTACGTGAAGTGGTCAAGATATTATCATCTAAATTTATGTGATCTAATCCATTGTTGATCTTGGTCAACTCGTTGGCTATTTCTTCAGTACAATAATAGTTTCCACTTTGCAAAATATCTTTAATATCTGATTTAACAGTGTTAATTTCAGACGTAACGGGATTTCGTGAAGCATACATAATGACACTTTACAGATCAATCCACTAATCCCTTTAGTTTTAAACTAATCGCACAGAACTTTCACCTTTCCTTTTACCATTAGTTGCCAACAAGGAGAAGCTAGACCATGACAACCGTAGCCAATGTAAACAAACAGGTGCACGAAAGAGTTACTAATGGGGGATAACTCTAATTTACCATAAGGCAACAACGAATTTTTTCATCAAGATTGATTTTATCATACGACTCATGAAGTTAAAGACTTCGGAAAAAAATATTGAATTGAATAAAGCTTAAATCCTTCTTTTTATGTACAAATATGGGACAATGACGAAAGGAAACACCATGCAGTGTACAATCATCGAACAAAAACAGAGACAAGAGTTAAGATAGCGATCCCTAGTACTAAGTAGTGTAGGCTCACAATGGGAAACTTTTGATAACATGCCGGCATAAGCCGACTAAATTTTTGGATTTTCACGAACAGTTTACGGCACAATGGATTCCTGTTCATTGTCTCATATGCATTCAGTGTTAGCGTGCAAGTAAATGTAAGCGAATGGACTCAGTATTTAATGCTAATAAATTAAAAAAAATTAAAAAGAAACTAGGTCTTTCCATTCGATCTTTAAGTCCAATAATTTGATCGACCGTTGAACATTTTTGAGTTAATTTTGAATATCAGATATTTAGTTCGCATACAATTGAATTAATGTCACAAGTATTCAGGCATTATCAAATTCTCTTACTCGTATTACCACTGACGTCATACTTTCTGGCACTACTTGCATTTAAGAATATTCATGACAAATCTAGACTGTTGTTTTCCGCTATATCTTTTTGTGTAAATTGTAGACAAATCCACTGTCAAACTTTAATTCTGAAAAGAGACATGAACATACCATTGAGATAGGCCTACCTCTCAGAAATATTAAATCTCCGATCAATTTATTAATCTGTATATTAATCGAAAATTTTCCATGGCAATTCCTGTTCGCAAAATATTGGAAAAATTGATAAAAAATAATTGTATTCAATTCCAGATTATATAAATACAGAATTGATTTTGGTTCCAACAAATTGCATGAGCCGCTAATCAGGCATGTTCCATCATTTCCTTACAATTAAGATATTCCGTGTAACTATAGCAACAAACTTTTTTTCAAAATCTTTTCTTCAAGAGTGTAGAATTATAATTCTAAGATATCCAATGCTATCATCTGTCCATTATTGAACGCAGGTTGAATCAGACCTTGGGGCAATTTTAAAAACGAAGTTGTCAGAATGAGATAATAAGGTTAGAACTACAGACTGAAGACAGTTGAACGATGGATGGCATGATTTGCCTCAGATTACTGCAAATGTGATGGAAATTTAACTATCTCGCGTATAGTAATTTCATGTGTTGTGCCCCGCCCCCCCCCCCCCCCCCC